TGTGTGTGTGTGAGTGTGCGTGCGAGTGTGTGTGTGTGTGTCCCCGTGCGTGCGTGTGTGCGTGCGTGCGTGTGTGTGTGTGTGTGTGTGTGTGTGTGTGTGTCTACAAAGGCCCTGATCTGCCCCCTGAACTTCCTGCTTCCTTATTTCCTCCTTATTTCCGTTGTTGGACCCTGTAAGCGCCTCCAACCTCAGACAGAGCCTCCCACCCACCTAAGCCCCTCCTCAATTTCGTCCTTCCCAGGGGTCTCAAGCCCCACCGAAGGACCTTGTAGGTCACCCCCTAGGCCACTCTCCAGAAGGATTTATGCCCTTCACTAGACATAGGGAAGTTTCTGGAGTCGGCTTGTTTAACCTGCTTCTCAGTGAGTAATTCCTGATGACTCACTGTGTCTTTGGTTCAGCCATCAGTCTCTTGAATTTCCTGGGGTCCCCATGAGGTCCACCCTGACATGCTGGCTACCCGCTTCTACACCTGGGCTGGGGAAACTTTCCCAGAGTTCTGGCTCCCCTTCCTACCCATCTCTAGCCAGGGCTGGAAAGATAAGAGTAGGTAGGTCTGGGCAGGGTAGGCCAGCTGGGCTCTGTTTGTTTTGGGGGTTTTCCTCACAAACTGTTTTTCTACACCCAAGGCCTTGTGGCTGCAGGGACAGGGTCAGCTCTAGGCCTCTGTGAGCTGAGGGAACTTACCAGAGATGCTAGGGACCATTCAGACCTTTTGGAGATCCAGGCTGACTCATGCTATCTCTGAAGCCCTGGAACTCAAGAGGCAGCCTCTCCATTTCACAGACAAGGAAACTGAGGCTCGGATGAAGGTCTCAGAGAGCAGGGTCCTGGAGGGTTGGCTGGGTAGACTGGCGGGCTCCTCTCTTCCTTCAGGTCCCTTTCCTCCCCGTCTCCTACCAGCTCCGGCTTCTCTGAAGCTCAGCCTCTGCCTCCGTCTATTGTATCTTCAGCACAGTGCTATTCCAGCCCAGCATGGGTGGGGAAAGGGTACCATTAGGATGCTCTTCCCAGTGAATGACTCGAATGCCCACTGTCTCACCGCCTGGGAAGAGCCATCAGCTGTCACACATGTCCAGGGGCCACCCACAAGGCCCACCATGACCCCCTTCTCACCCCCTCCCACACCTGTGCTGGGAAACCTTTCCCAGGGCTTTGGTTCTATCCAGGACCGGGAAGGCGAGAGTGGGTAGGACCCACTATCAGCTTTTAGATCATCAACCAATCCATTTTGGCAAGATGGGGTTTGCAGAGTCCAGCCCCTTCCTAAGAGCTGTCACTCAGGGTTTGGTTACTCAAGCCATAGAAGCTGGGGGTGGGGGTGGGGGGGACACTTCTTTTTTGTTTTTCTAGACAGGGTTTCTCTGTGTAGCTCTGGCTGTCCTGGAACTCATTCTGTAGACCAGAGTAGCCTTGAACTCACAGAGATTCTCCTGTCTCTGCCTCTCAAGTGCTGGCATTAAAGCGTGTGCCACTATTGCCCAGCAATGCTTCTCCTTTTATGGGGAGGGACAACCTTGAGAAGTGAAGGAACTTGCCCCCAGGCGGTGCAGCCTGATCCTGGAGCCTGAAGGTGTTGCTTCCCCATGCTCTTGGCGGCTCTCCAGGCCAGACCTCTGACCTAGGCTCCAGGCTGGACATCTCTCCTCACCTTTCCCTGGGCTCTCCGGCAAGAGAGTCTTTCTGCCTGGCTAGTGCCCAGCCTAGCCCCCACCTTACTAGGTTAAGGCTTATTTGTTTCATGTTCTTACCCTACCCAGCCCCCACCACTATACCAAGGCATTTTGGGTCCCCTACATTTCACAGCCATGCCCCCATGCCCTCACTGCAGGCTTGATATCTGGGCTGATCCTCTCAAGGACCAAATGGATTCCAGTTCAAGAGCCACCCAGCTTCCCCATACTGCCCTCTACTGGCCAGACTAAACTTACTGTTGTCTTCTGGGTGCGAGCCCATGCTTGCTCCCAAATCAGCAACATAATAATACCCCCTAGGTTTATAGAATTCTTTTCTTCCACTGAGCTCAAAGCTCTTTCCCATCTGTGATCTCCCTGGACTGGGACCAGCGGCAAGAGTGTGGGAGGACCAGCATTCATTTCCCCATTTTACAGAGACAAACTGAGGCCTGAAAGGGAAGAGGCGAGCTGTAGCGTGTGCAGCTGGTGGATCTCCCAGGTACATTTACCCAGCCCTCTTGGTTCCTGACGACCACACTGAGGCCCAGAGGGGACAGACTTGCCCGAATAAGTCTTGGGCCAGAATCCATTGTCCTAAATATCATTGGGGGGTTTTCCCACGACAATCAGAGCTTCGCCTGCAGACATGGACCAAAGGCTTGGCCGATTCATCAAACACCACAGACCTCTGTTAGCCTGTCTATAAAAGGGGTGTATGTCCTGCTCCTGGACCACTGGGGGATGTTCATGAGTGGTTGGAAGGCAGATGAGGAAGAGAGGGAGGTCAGGCACCATTGGATCTGACTCCTGATCTGGGCTTTAGCTTGGGCAGCTCTCCACAATTTTCGGTGAGCTCCCAGAAAAGAGTCACAGTGTCTGTCCAGCATGCAGTAACTCCCAAAGGGCAGACACCAACAGGACCTTCCTCACTCATGCTGCTGGGTGTGAGCAACAACTGGGAAGGAAAATCCAGGCCCAGCCTGACCTTCACAGGGGCCAAGCGTGTGCTCTGCCCACCTTCTACCTACACAGGCACCTGGGGGTGGAGAGTGGGATAAGAAATGTCTCAGCCAAGCCAGGCTTTGGTGGCACACGCCTTTAATCCCAGCACTCGGGAGGCAGAGGCAGGCAGATCTCTGAGAGTTCGAGGTCAGCCTGGTCTCCAGAGCGAGTGCCAGGATAGGCTCCAAAGCTACACAGAGAAACCCTGTCTCGAAAAACAAAACAAAAAGAAGAAGAAGAAGAAGAAGAAGAAGAAGAAGAAGAAGAAGAAGAAGAAAGAAATGTCTCAGCCAGTCTCACCCCCACAATCCCAATTCCCATCCCACCCCCATTCTGCCCCTCCTGGTACTTCTTTTGAGCTGTCAACTTATTTATCCCACTGATTTGCTATATACCCCCTTAGCCAGGGTCTTGACCAAACACTGGCGAATGTTTCCATCTTCAGCTCTGAGGGTCACGCCTCCAATGTCATAAAGCATAACGGCTAAAGAAGATAAAGGCGAATAGATGAGCTTGAGTGTGCTTAAATAAAACTTCATTGGCAGAAACAGACTGTGTGCCATAGTTCGTTAAGGCCAGCTTCAGTCTCCAAGGCTGCAGGCTCGTGCCGGTGTGCTCTTTGCTTCCCGTTCTGTGTGTAGTTAGCACCTTGCAGGGAGCTTGAAGAATAAAGATAGAGGTGAGTGGGCGGGGTGGGCAGGACTCAGAGGCCAGGCATGTATGGTGTGGTCTGAGGAAGAGGCAATGTATGGCTTGTGCAAATATCCAGAGGCAGGAACAACACGGCAAGGGTGATATTGGTCCCAGAGTCCCCAGGAGGTCATGACGAAGGGGAGCTGGGCTGGGTGTAGCTTAGTGGTGGGTGTTGCTTTTCTTTTTTCTTTGGATTTTTCTAGACAGGGTTTCTCTGTGTAGCCCTGGCTGTCCTGGAACTCTCTCTGTAGACCAGGCTGGGTTCAAACTCAAATAGACCCCCCTGCCTCTGCCTCCCGAGTGCTGGGATTAAAGGTATGTGCCACCACCACCCATAGAGTAGTGGGCATTTCTAAGAGCTTTCCATGTGGCCATGGTGTGAACTCACCTCTTGAGCTACTGGAGGATTAAATGGGCTCATGCCATGCAATGCACCATGCTGTTATTAACCCAAGCTCCTGAATTACCCCCTAAATCCTGCCAAGGCATCTTCTGGCTCAGCAAGGCTCCTCGATGGGAAGGGCCATCCTCACGACCAGGTGTCACTACACCTGTGAGCTTCTTCAAAGCTGGATAATCTCATGCCAGTGTCCCCAGGGCTCAGGACAGGGCCTCAGCACAGTCAGCTGTGTCTCCCATCAGACTTGGGGCTCCCCAAGGGTTCTACCACCCCCCTCTCCTGTCAGATTGGGAACTCCTTGTTCTACTTAGCCCACCTGGATGTCTAAGGAAGGCTCTAACTGACATCTGACTCTGACTGGAAGTCCCCTGTCCAGTCTTTAGCTGTGTGTGACTTTCTTAGATCAGACTGTCACTTTCTCAGCCTCCTCAGAAAGGCCTCTGGGACTATCAGGCCAGGTAGGTCTCCAAAAGTTAGCACTAGCCATGCCCGCCCCTCCCACCCCCATGAGTGCACTGGATCAGAGGGACCCATGGCTGTGGGTTCAAATCCCAGCTCTTCTACCTAGCCTTGGTCCTTCTATTGGCTCTCAGTCTCCACAGCCCTACAGTGGGCTCAGGACCAAGCAGATCTCAGACTGAGGGATAGTGGTCTATACAGAGATGTTCTAATAGAACAAAGCTGCCTTCTTCTGGGTTGATGCAACTTTGTAGTCATGGCTCAGGAGAGGTGGCACAGTTCTGAGGCAGACAGCTCCATGGTAAACCTCAGGACCCAGTGGCCAGAGCGGGGGCAATGTTCCAGTCTCTCCCCCTCACCAGGCCCTAAGTTCAGGTCGCAGTGTACACAACCTTGAGCCCCGGCTGTCTCAGAGTTGCCAGCACGGTACTTTCTGTGTCAATTGGCCAAGGGCAGAAAAGGAGCAAGAAAACTATTTAGGATGATGCTGTCTCAGTCTGCCCCCTGGTGGTCACATGCTGTGTGACATGCACAAGTCAAGAATCCTAGTGTCATCTAGGGCTTGGTTCTGGCAGCGGGGGTTCTTCTGCCTGTGGAAATGATCAGAACCAGAGTTACATCAACAGCCCCCTGGATCTTGAGAAAGGGATCCTGTCCCGAAGCAGTCATTATGGACCAGGCCCACACTAGTTATACTCCATAGCTCTCTTTACTCCTAGAGGCTTCCCTGTCTCCCTGGTGTCCCAGGACCCACCTAGTACAGCCAGTGGCAGTCACTGCCTCCATCAGCCTGAGCTCCCTCAGGACTGTCTTCCCATCAGACTAAGAGTGTGCATGCCCTCTCTCTCTTTCTCTCAATCTCTCCTGTCTCTAGTCCACCTGTTGTCTGGGGGTCAGGGAGACTTCTGATCTGAGGGTTCACTGGAAGCCCCAGCCCCAAGCGAGAGTGGACATATTCTGAGGTTGGCCCATGGCCTTATTTCTAGATCTTTCTGGAAAGGCTTCAATCTCTTGACTGCTGGAACCCACCCAAGATTCTTTCTTTCTCTTCAGTCTCATGGGTCCCTCCTCTCTCTCTCTTTCTCTCCCTCCCTCCTTCTAAGCCTCATAAATGATTGGACGGTGGGCTCCATGCTCATCACTGTCAGGTTGTACCTTCCAAGCCCCAGATAAGACCAGGCCAAGTCTTTCTCCTTCTCTAGCTATTTTATTTTTTATTTTCTTCGAGACAGGGTTTCTCTGTGTAACAGTCTTAGCTGTCCTGGAACTGACTCTGTAGACCAGGTTGGCCTCAAACTCAGAGTTCTGCCTGCCTCTGCCCCCAAGTTCTAGGATTAAAGACGTGAGCCATCACTGCCCAGCAAAGCTTTAGTTATTTTTAAAAAGATTTTATTTATTTATTATGTATACAACATTCTGCTTCCATGTATATCTGCACACCAGAAGAGGGCACCAGATCTCATAACGGATGGCTGTGAGCCACCATGTGGTTGCTGGGAATTGAACTCAGGACCTCTGGAAGAGCAACCGGTGCTCTTAACCTCTGAGCTATCTCTCCAGCCCCGCTTTAGTTATTTTTTAAAAAATTTATTTATTTACCTTTTTTGCTTTCTCCTCCTCAAGGGCCTACCTGTCCCGTGGTGCCAGTGGTCCCAAGTGGGCACTGGTCACTGCTGGAAAACACCAACTCCTACTTCCTCCACTGAGACTGTAGCCTCCAGTGTGGAGGGGCCTCCACACTGCCATATCCCTAGCCTGATACATCAGAGAGTACCTGCTGGTGAGGGACAAGCTGACTGGGTCTTGACCACAATGGATCTTCCAGACATGGGACCTTAGGCAGGTCTCACTTTGTCACATTCAGTCACCACCTATTAACTGAGCACCTACTAAGGATCCTGCCATCCACAGGATGCCCACACAGGTCTGCTGGGATCTCTGCTGTTCTTTCTGTTTTGCCCCTCTTGGAGAGACTTCTTGAAAGGTCTCAGTGACAAGACCAAGGGTGCAAGGTCTCAATGACAAGCCCAAGGGGGATTCCGTTACAGTTCACCCTGGGGAGTTATTGAATTTACTGGGCTCACTTACAGAGTGTGGGTGGGGAGTTACTTGCAGAAGCCTGGTGGGAACCCAAAGTACCTGCATGCAACAGCTACTTCACCCAGCATGGATGATGGCTTCCCCATAGCCATATAGATGGGACCCCATTCAATCAACTTTCCCTAACCTCTATAGTCTAGCAACTCGTGCGGGCATTCAGGTAGCTGAGAGGAGTGTGAAACCCCAGTGAGGGCCCAGTGACCTTCCCATGCTCTCCATGAGACAACATCAGCAGTCAGTAGCCGGCGACCTCTTGCAAGTGGGCACCTGTGATCTGATGAAAATTGCTGCTGTTTTTTGTTCAATAGAGGGTCCTCTAATTAGGGGGGATACAGCCTCCCCTTTGCTACTGCTCCCCAGATGTCACATGTGCCCAGAGCATCCCCAAGCACCCGTTTTAAACCTCTATGTATAGAAAGCCTTCCATTAGTTCTAGCTGCCAACACTTTATTCAACCTTCAAAATCTGTTTTCAGGGTCACCGTAGACTTGAAGTTGTCCCCATGTCCCCTTGGCCCTTGGCAGGAGCTCTCCTTTCACAGGCTCTGTTGGCTAGGGAAGTAGCACCTCCCACCCTGACCCTGAGCTCATCTCACACATGGCTCTCTCCACGGTGTCCCTGCTGACCCTGGGGCTGCCGGGCAAGCACTGATCTGATTTATCCCTGTAGTGGATCCTGCAGACTAACCCTCCTCCTGTCCAGCCCTGTGCTGTCCCCTCTCCATGCTTCAGTGCCCACAGCAGGGCAGGCGCTCTCGGCGGCAGATGTCTGTTTGTGGATGGATAGCCATGGGAAGGGGCTCTGTCTGGGTCCTCAAGATCATGCCAGAAAGAACAGAAAGAATGGGAGAGGTGAAGGGTGTGTCCTGGCACTGTCTCCCTGGGTTTCCTCCTCTCTCTGCCACGAGTGGGTGTGGCAGGAGGGCACCCGAGGCGAGCAGTGAAAGGTCACAGGGCAGATGGGCTGTGGGGTGAGTTGGCAAAGGACAGAGCATCTCAGGGAGGACAGCCACACATCTTGGAGCTGTCTGGACATCGTTTGCTTCAGCAGAATTCCAAGGACTGGGAAGGTGAATGTGGACGTACAAGGAAGAGCCACCTGCCTCCCCCAGGATGGCCCAGTCTCAGGATGGTACCAGTGCAGGGGTGTCTATCAGGGGACCTCTGTCCTGGTCCCCGTCCCACTATCATCAGTAAGCTGTAAGCAAACCCCTGCCCCTGTCTGAGCACCAGTGTGTACAGTAACAAGATTGGATCAGGAAACACATGGGGCAGGAAGACGCATTCATCCCACCCCACCTGTGCCTCTGAGTCAGCCCGACAGGGACCCTGGACAATGCTCTGCTCATCTCATCTACCTCTCGCCATCCCAGGTACCCTCTACTCTGTGAACTGCCCTCTCCCTCCTCTCTGCAGGGGTCTGATTCCACTACCACCACCCCAGTCCTTGGACTGTCACGTTGCCAGCAGAAGCATCAGCAGCTGTGACCAGCTCCTGCCCTTACGTCATGGTGAGTCACAGCCCTGCCTCCAAGCCATGTCCGCTGGTTCTCTAGAACGATGACAAGAAGGGCAGACACATCTGCCTGCTCAATGCCAGACCATATGCACGGGACAGGACCAGAGCTTGACCATAGGCAGGTCTGTCTCTCCTTCCCCACATGGGCAAGAGTACCCCTAATACTGAGTGGTGAGCCTGGGGTCCTTATAATAACGGATGCTCCCCTCACAGCCACCTCAGTGAGGCTAGGCTTGGAGGGCCAAGTACCAGGCTCTGAGCAGCTGGGACCCACTAGAACCCTGTACCCACTAGAGGATGGACACTCAAGTGTTGTTCACACTTGAATGTGGTTGGTGTTCCATACAAGCAGTGGCTTTAGTTGCCTCCATGGGTGTGGGAGGCGGCAGTAATTTGTGATGCTGTCGTCATGACAGCCACCCTTGAGGTCTTCGAGGGATTCAGCCCCAGGGGCTCCAGCCCCTTGGTGCAGCATTGCCTCATAACCCATGCACAACCTTCCATACACTTTATTTTCTCATCCTTTTCTTTTTCAAGGCAGGATCCCATGTAGCCCAGGCTGACCTTGAACTCACTATATAACCAAGGATAACCTTGAACTTCTGATTCTCCTCTTTCTACCTCCCCAGAGCTGGCATTATAGGAGTGACATCACCCCTGCTCCCATGCACTGTACGTCCAACTGTGTCAGGATTATTTGCGATGCCCCATGTCTGATAAATGCGGTCGTTCTGCGTTGTGTTTGGAGCAGTGATGACCACATATGTTCCTTCCAGACTCAATTGTGTGTTTAAGTAACACGGTTTATCTGAGCTGGATAAACCTACATCTGATAACAGCAGGGCCAGAACAGAGCCATCTCTCCTCGGACTTTCCTCAAGAGCTCAACTGCGCAGCCCTGAGCAGACCCCCCAGGCTTGGCTTTTGCTCTGCACAGGGCCTTCAGCCCCCACCCAGAACCTTGTTTTAAGCCCTCCCCACCCCTCAGGGCTGGCTCTAGTGACCCATGCTGGGTAAACAGATCCAGTGACCCCTCTGCCCAAGGATGGAGTGAGATGAAATTTGCCTCAGATACGGGGAGCCTGGCAACGTTTGCCAAGGAGTGGCTGGTCACTCTGAAATCCTGAATGGGCGCATGTGACTGCACACAAGAGTGTATGTGTGAGCTGTGGAGACCGTATGTGCAGGAGGGTGTGTGCATGAGCCCTCTATCCAGCCAGGAGGCCACTATATCCTGGTCCTCCCTCAGAACGCTCATCCTGGGCCAGCATCCTCCTATGCACAGGTGACTATTAAAAAACTCTGACTTGGGGGAGGTGGCTCAGCCGGTAAAGGCACTTTCCGGGAAGTATGACCACCCGAGTTTGGTTCCTAGGATCCATATAGTGGAAGGAAATAGCCTCCCCATAGACTCCCCCAAGTGTCATTTGATCTCCATACTCATGCTGTGGCGCGCGCACGCGGACACACACACACACACACACACACACACACACACACACACACACACACACAAA